TATGGAGCCTCAAGTTGCTGAGATTTTCAGTTTTTTTGATTCTACGCAACATCTTTGGACTGCTGTCAAAGAAATGTATGGAAATCAAAATAATGCAGCCAGGATTTTTCAACTAAAGAAGGATATTGCTGGGGTATATCAAGATGGAAAACCTTTTATTGAACATTTGGGAAAGCTTAAAGGCATGTGGAATGAGCTAGATCTTTACAGACCACATACTACTGATTCAGCCACCCTTCTGAAAAGGGCTGAAGAGGATAAAATTTTCCAACTTTTGGCAAGTTTGGATCCAGATTATGAAGACTTACGCAATTACATTTTGATGAGTGCTGAAATGCATTCTTTCAATACTGTTTGTACTACTATTCAACGAGAAGAGGTAAGGAAGAAAGTCATGAACGTAGAAATCAAATCAGGTGCTAGAAGTTCTGAATCTAAAGCTTTTGTAGCTAGTGAAACAAGCAAGCAAAAATTTCAAAGGAAAGAAAGGCAATCTGGAGTGTAGTCATTGCGAACAAAAAGGTCACACCAAGGATAGGTGTTGGATTCTCCACCCTCATTTGAAACCAAAATTTGGAAAGAAAGGCAGGGGAGAACAAAAACACAGTGCCAATCAAGTTTCTGCTGCTGATGATTTTGAAAAATTCACTACCAAACCTTTAGCTTTTCTTGGTGAGTTTGCTGCGTATGTCCACCAAAAAAACGAGAATCCCAATCGTAAAATTGATGCAAGTGTCTCTAATAATGCTGGAGCAAATCTAGCCTCAAACTCTATTGCTCTTCTTGGACAGTTTGCTAATTTTCTTCAACAATATAGAAAGTCCTCTACTTCTGATGTCTCAGGTATTGTCAAAGCCTTTGTGACTGCACTTATTTCCAGCACTATGTCAAATGTTTGGGTTATAGATTCGGGAGCCACCGATCACATGACGAATAAAAAATAGTATCTTTGTGATTTTGAGAATTTCACTAAGGCTCACTCTGTCTCTGTAGCTAATGGTACTGATGTCTCAGTTTTGGGCCAAGGGAAGGTTAAATTTCTTGGTACATATGTTGTGTCTACTGCCTTATATGTGCCATCGTTCCCTTTTTAGTTATTGTCAGTTGGAAGACTAACAAATCCCTTAAACTGTGATGCCATTTTTTCTCATTTTAATGTGATTTTTCAGGATCGAATCACAAGAAGAAGATTGGTGAAGGTGTTTACTCAAATGGATTGTATCTTCTTCATCATCTTCCTAACAACTCAAGAGGGCTCCAAGTCAATTCTCTCCCAAATCATGTTTTATGGCATCAACGTCTGGGACATCCCTCTGAATCTGTTTTGTCAAGCTTATTTCCAGCACTAGATAAGGCATCCCAAGATTGTGAGATTTGTCATTTTTCAAAGCAGACACGTCTGCCATTTAGTCATTCATTGTCAAAAACCACCAGACCTTTTGAGATTGTTCACTCAGATGTATGGGGGCCAGCACCCTTAGAATCTTTTGATGGCTTTAAATATTTTGTTATCTTTGTCGATGATTTCTCTCAGGCTACTTGGTTATATCTATTGAAATCAAAGAGTGAGGTTGCTTTTGTCTTCAAAGAGTTCCATCGGCTTATAATGAATCAATTTTCAGCCCAGCTTAAAGTTTTGAGATTTGACAACGGTACTGAATTTATGAATAGTAACCTTTCACAATACTTAAGTTCGTATAGTGTAATTCATCAGACAAATTGCGTTGGCACACCCTAACAAAATGGGGTGGCAGAGAGAAAAAATCGTGATCTCCTTGAAAAAACGCGGTCGCTCATGCTGCAAATGAATGTTCCTAAGAAGTTTTGGTCTCAGGGAGTTCTTACGGCAGCCTATGTGATTAATAGGCTTCCAAATAGGGTTCTTGACTACAAATCTCCTTTTGAAGTTCTCAAAGGAAGGAAAATTGATCTTTCCCACCTTCATATCTTTGGATGTGTTTGTTTTGTTCATATTCAAGGATTACATTGAGATAAATTTGACTCCAGGGCAGCTAAGTGTGTTTTTATGGGTTATTCTTCAACACAAAAAGGGTATAAATGCTATGATTCAAGAACTCGAAAGATCATTATATCTCCTGATGTTGTGTTTGATGAAACATGTTCCTTCTTTGATAAATCCTATGGAAATAATAGTCAGGGGGAGAGCTTTCTTGATCAAGTGCCTTTGCCAATTGTAGAAACCATTGATGATCATAGTCCTACAAGTGTTCCTTGTTCTAGAGATATAACTTCCAGCAACGAAGGAACATCTTCCAACAACGAAGGTACTCCTCTCGACAGTGTTCAAACTGAGCTTATTTCTACTCTTCCTTCTCTAGTTGCACCATGAAGAAATCCAAGTCGAGCGCGGAATCCTCCACCAAAATTCAAGGACTATGTCAGTTATGCCACTCGATATCCAGTTGAAAGGTATATTACCTACACTAATGTGTCTCGATCCCATGCTGCCTTTCTAAGCAAAATTTCAATCTCTTGTGAACCCAGCTCTTTTCAAAAGGCAAAAACCAAATTGATTTGGCAAAAAGCAATGAGAGAAGAACTTAAAGCTCTTGATGAAAATCAAACCTGGAGTATTGTTAAGTTGCCTAAAGGGAAGAAAGTGGTTGGTTGCAGATGGGTATATAAGACCAAGTTTAACAGTGATGGATCCATTGAGAGACACAAGGCAAGGCTGGTGGCTAAGGGGTTTACTCAAACTTTTGGAGTAGACTACAAGGAAACTTTTGCTCCTGTAGCAAAGATGAACACAGTAAGAGTTCTCTTATCTGTTGCTGTCAATAATGATTGGCCTTTATTTCAAATGGATGTGAAGAATGCCTTTTTGCATGGAGAATTAGAAGAGGAAGTTTACATTAGCTTGCCGCCTGGTCATCCTCATGAAAAACAAGAAGGAATGGTTTGTAAATTGCACAAGGCTATCTACGGACTTAAGCAATCTCCACGGGCTTGGTATGCCAAATTAATTACAGTTCTTGAAAGTATAAATTTCACAAGAAGTAATGCAGATTCCTCTTTGTTTGTTAAAGATGGGCCTACTGGAAGATTGGTGATACTTATATATGTTGATGATCTCATTATTACAGGCAGCAATATGAGAGAGATTCATAAACTCAAGTCTTTTCTTCACAAGAAGTTTGCTATTAAGGATTTAGGGTCCTTAAAATATTTTTTGGGTATTGAAATTGCCTCCTCAAGCAAAGGTTTATTTCTTAATCAACGCAAGTATGTGTTGGATTTTCTTCAAGAAACTGGTATGTTAGAAACCAAACCAGTCATTACCCCAATTGACTGCAAGGCCAAACTTGGTCTCGATGGAGATTTGTTAGCAGATGATAGTAGTTATCAAAGGCTGGTTGGGAGGCTTATTTATCTTACTATTACTCGTCCTGACATCTCTCATGCAGTAAGCTTAGTAAGCCAATTCATGCATTCTCCTCGATCAACTCACCTGCAAGCAGTCAAACGGATTCTTCGTTACTTAAAGAGGAAAAATGGAAACAATCAAATTATAGGGTACTCAGATGCTGATTGGGCAGGGTGTAAATTGACCGGAAATCCACCACAGGATATTGTACCTTTGTTGGAGGAAATTTGGTCACATGGAAGAGTAAGAAACAGAGTGTCGTTGCTCGTTCAAGTGCTGAAGCCGAATACAGAGCCATGGCTGCTGTCTCTTGTGAATTAATTTGGCTCCAGGGACTTCTCAATGATTTGGGCTTTAAAGACCCACATCCCATGACTCTCTTTTGTGATAATCAGGCTGCCATTCATATTGCTTCCAATCCAGTGTTTCATGAACGAACCAAGCATATTGAAGTTGATTGTCATTTTGTCCGAGAGAAGATTTAGTCCAATATAATTCGCACATCATACATCCGCAGTAATGAGCAACTGGCAGATATCTTCACCAAAGGACTTCCTTTAGCTCAATTTGAAAACCTTTTGTTCAAGCTTGGCTCAATCAATATTCTCGCCTCCGCTTGAGGGAGAGTATTGGAATATGTAAAATAATTAACTGCTACTGGAAACTCCTCGTCTTCTTACAGCTGCTGGAAACTCTTCATCTTCCAACAGTTGTATTGTCTTGGTACTGTAAAAGCCTTTATTAATTCTAATGACTGTAAAAGGCTTGCATATATATGCAGCCTGTTGTACTGATATGATATGATGAATAAGAATCTAAAACTCCACCGGGTACGTAGGTTCTAAATTGCCGAACCTCGTTAAACTTGTGTTGTTCTGTTTTCTTCTTTTTCTCTGATTTCTACAGTAATTATAAACTTCCAAGCAAGTTCCCAACTTTCTTAAACTTAGTAATTTAAGGATCAAGCATATTGATCCACAAGGACTCTTTTCATTTAAGAACTCTTGGCATCGCCGCCGTCCTTTTGCACCCAGCAACCCCATTCTTTTAAATAAACAGATCTGAAACAAAAATGAAATTTTAAGAATGGAAGAGAAGCCAGCAACCCCATTCTTTTGCACCACCAGTGCTTTCAATCAAAGACTCTTAGAAACCTGTCCAAGAAATCAAAGAAGTCCCCACGTCATTACTATAGATACACCTGTCCATTTTTAAGTAACATTAAAAACCTCACATGTGAAGAGCTCATAGTCTTATCTTAAAACACAATAATTCTACCCAAAAAAAGTCCCACGATACAATATGCCAGGGCCCAATATCAGAGCTGTGAAGGAAGTTGAGGTTCTATATCAAAACTATTTAGTAATGGGGGAGTAACTGAACTCCTTATAAACCCAAGTTATGTCCCCTAACTTTTTAATGTAGGAAGCCTAACATGCAAACAACACATATTAGGTGACGTCAGAGCATATGTGGTTATTGGGCCCCAACACGTGAAGCTCTGATACAATAAAGGAAGTTGATGTTCCAAGATTAGGATTACGTGACAAAAATAATAGTTTAACTTAGACATGTGCACAATATATTAAGAATAATAGACTACTAGTATAAACCGAGAGGAAAGCTACATTCTCATTTGTTGTAGTCTTATGCTTTGACCACTCACTTACTGCCATTGTAGATAATGCAACAGACTCTGCCCTTCATGATCAATTTCACATTGTGAATAGGTGGAGATTCAAGACTTTTGGGTCTCATCCACTTGTGCTCTCCATCACATGATTCAATTATCAACAGCATCCCTGTTGATCATTCTCATGAAAGAAAAACAGGATAGTGGAGATGGCTCTTGGATTGGGAGTTTTAGCTGCATTAGTCTTCCCCATATTTGCATTTCCTTTTCTTATTTGTTTTATCATTACAAGAGAAAGTTCATTGCCACAAGGACCACAAAAGGCCAAACTTGTAGAGGAGTTCCAACGAGTTTGTCACTTGCAGAGATAACAAGGGGGAGGCCAGAAAGCTTTTATGCTGATATGTCCTCCATCCACCAGCCTTGCAGAACAAGCCAACACTGTTTTTCTAAAACTTGAGCACCTTCCGTATTCACCGGATTTAGTAATCCTTTCATCACCATAGCCTTCAATTAAAATAAGAAAATAAAACCATTACAGAACATACAACATAAAGAAATAAAAAATTTATTTTCCCTTCTTTTGGTCAGAAGTCTCAGAACTATACTAACATTTTTGACACATTATTTCACTATTGCAATAGTTTGATAATACAGTATATAATAACTTCTATAGCAATAGTTAATTTACTCGAGGCCTATATGAAGTAAATATCCTAGAACATTGAAATTAACAAGTTAATCCAAGTCCTAAGCAAGGACCATCCACTCAGAATATATCTCGAACGTAGTAGGAGGACAACAAATTTAGGAAAACACCAAAAGAAGAGGTAAGTGCAGAAGGAAAAAGGATATGCTTTTTTCTGTTAGCAACATAGGAGACTTGAGAAACTATCCATGTTAATTAACACATTGGTTGAAGTAGCACAACTTGAAGTTAAAGAAAATCTCAAATTTGGGGATGACCTGCCCATCTGTATCAAACATATACAACATGTGGAGTGGACTTGAACCTGCAGCAGAAACCATTCAAGCAGAATAAGATACCTCCCAAGTTACCAACCATGTTCTAAATGCTTCAGTTACTAACCATGTCAGCAGAAACCATCCAGCAGTGCAGAGACTCAGGTTCATTGATATTAAGGCCTCTTCCAATGTTAACAAGAATACCCTTTGGAAAGCAAGCATTGATGACTTCAAAATCGACAATGTTGTTGGTCTCCTCAGAAGTGATCAGAGTTCACACAACCAACTAACTCCATGGAACTTGGATAGTATTCCTAGTACTTCAACTCTGGCTTGCCAATTCATCCCAAGCCGATAATGCCAACTGTTTTTCCAACAGAACTGAAATGAAATTAAGAAAGGAAAATCATTATAAAACATACAACATAAGCAATTAGCAATGAAAATAAGCTTATTTTACTTAACCACATTAGGCTATGTCCAGCACCTTCCAAAATCTAATTATGTTAATTGCTCCACTTCTGCTAATTTTGTTGTAAAGCTAAAACTCACATTTCCTTTTGCCACTCCTTCTCTGTTATTCTCTCTTCCCTTATGAACTAACCACCTCTCCCTTCCTTTCCTGATTTTCTATCGAAATAAATTTAAATAACAGCAAAGATGCAAATTTCCACACCTGCTGCAAAATCCAAAAGCAGCTATAATCGTAAAGCAGCAATGAGCAAGCAAAATAATGCAGCAAATTTCCTTCACTCACATTCCTTTCGAAACTCTAAGGAAAACGGCTGATTCAATAGCAGGCCTACACTTGTCCATATCTCCATATTCCTTGTAAATAACCTTAGCTCTAGAGAAATCTACCGAAGCTGTATATAATAGGAAATACTATACTCATTTCAATATAGTGGAAACAGAGGAAATATACGTACAATAATTACAATTCTCTCTGCCTCTTATTCTTTCATCCTTTTCTCCTAGATTTTTCACACACATTCTTTCACCTTAATTAACTATTTTCCCCTTTTTTTATTTTGGTCAGAAGACCTAGAACAATACTAACATTTTCCACACATTAATTCACTATTGCAACAGTTTGGTAGCACAGCATTGAACGGTTGCTCTGAAAATGTTCATTTACTCAAGGCCTAAATATTCTAACACATTGTTCTCCATTTCCATGGCTCTCTCTTTCCATCGCTTTCTCTCCATGGTTCTCTCTTTTCATGGCTCCCTCTATAGCTCTCCCACCACCCTATTAAGTTGATGATTGGAACAACCAATTGAGTTTGGGCAGCAAGGTCGCTCATGTATTATTCTAATCCTTATGAGTTTTGGTTAGCTAAATGCATCGTTCTAGAACACTAACGTACCACGATTCGGTACGTGCAATCCAGTTCGAAATTCGTAAGGGGGGTGAGCGATTTGGGTAACTATGGTCAGAAGACTCAGAACTATACTAACATTTTTCACACATTATTTCACTATAGCAAAAGTTTGATAGCACAGCATTGAAAGGTTGCTCTGAAAATGTTCTTGTACTCGAGGCCTATAGGAAGTAAATGTTCTAACACATTGAAATGAACAAGTTAATCCAAGTCATATCCACTCAGAAAATATCTCGATCATAGAAAAAGGGCAAACAATTTAGGGAAAAATGAAGTCCTGGAAGCAGAGCACAAGTTAGTTTTGTAAATCTATAGCATATATACATTTTAGGATTTGTTCTGTTGTTTTCTGTTTGCAACATAGGAGAAATTGTCATTGATAAAAGTATTTATATGCAGGCTTAGTCCATTTTCAGACAAAACTACTTAATAAGATTATATTCTTAGAGCACAACATTAACAGTATGCAGAAACCATTTTATTTAAGCACAAAGATACCTCCTGAGTTACCAATAAAATCTGAAGTTCATTCAGTAGTGTGCGGTTCTAAATGCTTCAGTTGGGCAACATCTGCAAAGGTTCATTCAGAGTGTGCATTTTCATGGCATACAGACACCTTACTTGTCTGTTTTCAGTACAATATCTGACACAGCAATTGAAATAGCACAAAATTAGAGGAACACAAAATTACAGCATATCCTGCAAACTATACAAACAAGATGTGACAAGAAAATTACTCTCTCTCCTCCAACCTAATACAAGAACTAAATATGATGCAACCAAATTTGAAACTTTGTGAATGCCACCAATGCATTGCTTGCTTTTCATCAAATTTGAAACTAGATGAGAGACAAGTATTATTAAACAATGATAGATGATAGTGTCCTTCCGTCAGTCAGATTGACAAGTTTCAGAGCAAATTAAACAGTAGTTCAAAAGAAAAATGAAAATAAAAGGTGACTTACTGAGATGAATTCTGAGGATTGACCATCATCGTCATTAGCTTTTCAAGTATTATTTTGAGACCTCATTGAATGATTGCACCATGCACAAAATAATTTAGACTTTCTTCAATCTTTTGGCGACTGGTTCATCGCCCTCATCAGAGCTACCACTTCCACTACTACCAATTGGACCTACCTCGTCACCGTACCTCAAACGGCTGAATTCTTCCAAATCTCTCTTGTACACCAACCGAGCCCTACATTCCTTTATAATCGAGCTTGTTTTGAGGTTTTCCAAACTTCTAGGTGAAAAATAATACGTTTCGAACGAAAACCGATGACTGGTTGAGGCATTCGTGAGGGTTGGATGATCGCGAGGCAAATAAAAAACCCAAAGGTTATTTGAAAAAATCATCTCAGTTGGATAGCGTCGACGAAGGACATCCAAATATCTCTGAGATGATCGAACTTCAATCTTGAAATAATATCCAGGAAGGAATCCGGGACTACTATCAAAAACAACACATACAGCAATCCCAACCCAGTCGCTGCTATTTGATGGGTGTGGAAGGAGAGGCAGCTCCACAGTTATTGAATCTCCCACACTTGGATTACCGAACCACTCAAGAATTCCAAATACAGGGCATGTAATACAGCTCACAGGAGCAAAAGAATTACCATTATTTTTTAAGAGCATTCCCTGTACCAAAAGAATTACCATTATTTTTTTTGGTCGAAATTATATTTATTTATTATAGAAAAGAAAACTATATTCTTTTCACCAAAATAAAAATAAAAAGGGAAAGAAAACTATAATATTCAACGAGAGAGTAAATACCTCAATGGCCGCTGTCCTTATCATTTTAAAGAAAAATATAATCCAGTCTTCTTCTTCAACCAATTTGAAGCAATTAAAACAAGAAAGCTTAAAATTCTTCTTCTTCAACCAATTTGAAGCAACTTCACCAATACTAAAAAGGGAAATACAATTGTCTACGTTTACACTTCTTATATTTAGCGGAAGATCTGGCAATCGCTCAAGTCGTCCTTGAAAGTTTTAATTGCTTGCCAGTACTGCAGTTCATGGTATAAATGGGATAGAAAACCGCTGCGAGTGTCTTCACCCCTGAAACTCAAAAAGACATCATGCTTCCAATGGGGAGGAGCCCATTCAGCTGAAGTACGAGATGTATAGGCTCTTTGGGTGCTCAATGCCATGGGAAAAAGACAGTTCCTGGAAATCTGGTTCGGCAAACGCTCAGGAAATACATAAAATGAAAATGGTAGCTTTAATTGTTCTTTTGGGTAATTGAAAACGTATTAAGCAAAAGGGAAGAAGGGAAGAGAGCAAATACCCAGCAAAAACAAACTAGAGATTAATGAAATGGAAACGCAGCAACTCGGACAACAGCTCTGTGGAACAGCACCACAATCACGAGCCAGAGAATTGGCAGCAAAACAAACCAATCCAACCAAAAACAAGATGCGAAGTTAACTGTCACCAGAAAATGGAAAAAAAAACATACAATATTCACCCGAGAGTCGAAGGAACAGATGAAAAGAGGAGGGATGGGATATGCGTAGGAAAGGAAATAATGGAAGAGAGAGAGAGAAACAACACGGTTTCTTTTTTTGTTTCTTTTTTAGTTATTTTTTGGTGCCGGTGTGATGAGTCTTTTCTTATGTGTCCATTGTAGAGTCTTCGATGGTAGAATTGCTTGGTCTTCTTTCTGACGTCAAATTGTAGGCTCTCAAGAGGAAAAAGCTAATTATTTCATTTTGAGTCTTCGATGGTAGAATCTAGGGGTGGCATTTTAAACCGAAAAATCGAAAAACCGCAAAAACCAACCGACAATTTACCGCAATGAAACCGCAATCGCGGTAAACCGAACCGCATTTGCGGTATTTAATTATCAAAACTTGCGGTTACTGCAAACCGCAAAATATAACGGCACGGATGATAAAGTTGAATTATACAAGGAAATAGAACATATGACAACTTGTAAGTAATTAGTTTATTTATGCTTCTTCTTATTATAAAATGTACTAAACTATGTTGTTTTATTTGTAGATAA